ACATATATATATAAATATATATATATATATATATATCATTGTACTTGCATACCTCGCAAATCTTTCATATTCAAGTTATCATATATGTTATATAACCTGTTTGTATTTTTTACTTTTTACTTGGACGTTTTATATTGTTATAACTTGTTTTTTTCTTTTTTTTTGCAGCGCCTTATTTGGTAAACATATTATGCTCTTATCAGTTTTATTCGATTTCCTGAGAAAAAAATGGATGAGTAGAAATTTTGAGATTTTTTTATATTGTTTTGATTAACTTTATTACTTATTAGTTGCATTTACAGGACAGTCCCTGCCAGTCCATGTTCTCAATTTGTTCATCATTCTTATGCCATTTTTATCCACATTAAATATTTTTCATTATCGTTACCTAGTGTTATTTACTAAGTCTGGTCATGGATCATTTCATCCTTGATATTGTTGTCATTTGCATATTCTGTGTTTTTAATGTAAATTGTTCCATTACAGTAGTCTTTTTATGGTCTTAGCTGTTTTTGCATTAATTAATTTTTCTTTCATTTAGCGAAAAATATTCACCTATTCATTAAAATCTCCATGTTTTGCATTCAAAAAAAAAGATAGTATTATTTGGTTACATGCGTGATATTTTTATGCACCGCCACCTTTTGAATTTTTGTCTATTTTCGAAAATTTGGAAATGCAGAAAGAAACGAAGAAAATTTTAAAGCACAGAAACATACAGTATTCTTAATTTTTTCAGGTGGAATGGAAGAAGCACCATTCGATCTTGATTTGGATAAGATACTAACAGATCCACATACAGATCTGATGTTATCCAGTAGCAGCTCCGCAGATGTTTATAGTCCATTCCTGTTAGATGATGATCCTAACTTTGTAGAAAATTCGGAATCGGACGGGTCGTACACATCGGCATTGCCATATTTAGATGGTCCGAATTGTTTGTTGGATAGCTTGTGTTCGCAGTTAGATACACAAGAGAGTATTGTTGAGGAGGAACATTCCTATGCGTCCGTTCGAAGTAAGTTTTCATGGGGACAACTGGATGAGTTTTTGTTACGCATTTCTTGTTATTCTCTAATCGTTTTTATGTAAGCCTACTGCTGCTATTGATTTCCTGAATTACGAAATGAGTCTTTGAAGTTTTCGAAGCGCAATTCTAAGCTTGTTATAACTTATTTTTAGCAAAATCATCGGCGTCTTCGACATATGAAGGAAGTGATTTCTCCGTGATTTCATTTCTACAGAACACGGAGGAACAATTTGACGTACTTCAAGTACTTTTGCATTTACTCCTTTGGTTTTGTTTTTTTTTCTTCTTTGATGTAAATTCGCGAGAAATTTACATAAGTATTTTCTTCTTTTCCAATATTTAGGAAGCAAGTAGAGGAATTCTTGAAGATTGGAACTGTGAACAAAACTGTTTGCCGCTGCCACAAAGAGAGATTAAAACAGGTATATTTCCTATAATTCAGCCATCAATATTTTGATATAAGAACAATGTTCATATATCCTTTAGATCATGTTTTAAAAGCAGTCTACTCCACATCTTCAATCGCTTCTGCACATAAAGCTAATCGATTCAGTATAGCTGATATTAACAAGAAGACAAGACCACTTGTTCGAATTGGTCTGGGAGGTATTTTTTAGTCTTCTTATTTTTTATATAATGATAAAATTTTATTATCTATGTAATGAAATAAAAAAAAATTTTATCGTTTATTGTTTTCAAACATTAAAATTCAGATATAAAACAAGCGGCGATAGTAGTGATGTATAATCTTAATGTGCTCTTTTAGAAATATCTTTAGAGAAACGAAAATACCCACCACTAGTATTGACTGATGAAGAAAAGAAATTGTGTAGAAAGGAAGGGATTCGGTTACCAGAATATTATCCTTTGACAAAAGCAGAAGAAAGAGAACTGAAGCGTATACGTCGAAAAATCAGAAACAAACACTCGGCTCAGACAAGTCGGAAGAAAAAACAAGTAATTCATTATCAGAATTTCTACTTTACATTTCTTTTCGATCTTAATTGCGTTACTAAATTTTCAGGATTACATTGAAGCATTGGAGGACCGTGTGGAAAATTGCACTCAAGAGAACGAAGAACTGAAGAAACAGGCATCTCTTCTAGTTCTATTTTTCAATTTTTCATCTTATTAAAATTACCATCAACTCAAAAAGTGAGAGTTTTATATGCGAAGTATATTAAAACTTCGAGAAGATTGCGTGTTATTGAGGAGAAAAATGATACCTGATCCCTTTTTTCTCCATTTACTTTTTCAATATGCTATATAAATGCTTCATTCATTAGGATGATAACCAATTGCAGGTAGAACATCTCAAAACACTAAATTCAACGTATTTATCGCAACTGCGAAAATTACAAAGTATGGTTGCTAATGGGTCAAAACGAAAAGTGCATGCCGGTACTTGCCTTGCGGTATTAATGCTTTCAGTATGTTTACTTGTTCCGCCGCACTTGTCACCTTTGTCGAAAAAGCGTAATGAAGAAGAAGCAGAACAGATCACATCATCAGTAGTTCAATTTCCAAAACCGACTCCCCCACTTGCAGGTCAGTTGTTTATAGTCCCTTTGGTTAAGGGGAACAATAGACATAAGACATTTATTCATTCATTCATTAAAGTGACTCGTAAAATTTAAGAGAAAATGAAGTTATTTTGTATTGATTCGTTAGACATAGTTCTTATTAATTATCTTTAGAGACAATAAGTGTTGTGCTAAAAAAAATAACAATTGCCAGTTTGAAGACTGTTTTGGATGTGACAATATAATTCATGTTGTTTCATTGAGAACCGTGTAGATCAGAGCATATTTCTGAAAAGAATTTTCATTGCGGGATCTGTCTTGAATCAAAATCGCTGATAGCGATAACAGAAATATTTTAAGGACGTTCGAGATCACTTCTGCAGTTCGTGAACTCTGTTACTGATAAATTTGATGTTGATTTTTGCGATGAAGAAGAATATGAAGATGCTTCTGCTACCAAGTTTGTGCTTTTTTTTTCCAAAATAGAGAAAGAATTGTTATGCAATATACTGTATTAAGTCGAATAATGTTGCTAACAGTGGTATTTAGGGCAGAGGATCAATTGGTGACATTCAAGAATAATTCATTAAGACGCAGGGAGAAGCACGTGATGTTTTGGGATGACAATGTAACATTGAGAGCGAAGCCGCGTCTTGTTGACATGAGAAACAGAGATATGCCGAATTATGAATGCGCCAGAATCGGAAGCTACGAACGAAAACGAAAAACTTTGCCTCAAAAAAAACTCTACTCAACTTCACCAGACAATCATAAACCATGGATACAGACAATGAACAGTGCGGAATATAAACATGCAAAACTATCTAATGGCTCAATGCTTCGTGTTTATACAAATCCTGGCAGTTATGTTTCAATGGATGCAAAACGTTTCAAAATACAGCGAGCATGAATGGCTGAGTTATAAGAATTGGAAACTAGATTTTATCAAATTTTACTAATGCTTTTAAAGAAGAATGAATTTCGAAAGACCTAGTCTAATATTGGAATTAATATTTCCAATGAGTATAGATGAAACAAATTTTTCTTTAGTTACTATCGTTAAGAATATCGAGTAGGTTAAGTAAAAAAAAAAAACGTTTTCAGTTTTTTTTAAATGTTGGCTATTTTTCCATGCGGTACTTCCAAAGTGTGTGATATTTTTAAACAAAGTGCGGAAACTTTCCTTTATTCGCATAAGCTCAATGAAGATCCGTTGGCTGTTCTGATTTTTCTAATCTTATCCTTACTTTTATCAAAGCAATGATTTTGGAATTTATTTCGCGTTAAACTTTGATTGTTGTCTCCATATTTTCTATTAATTTTGGGATGCAAATTTGTTCCGGTCAATTTTTTCATTTTGTTCTTATCAGAATCATCATCATTTTGTTTTCAGTTTTTAGTGTCGGCTACTTATATATCTTATCTATGCGGTATTATATCAAACAGCTCTTTTTTTTGTTTAGAATTTTCACCTTCTTTTTATTGAAATGGTACTTTAATCTACCATTTTCTTATCTATTGATTTTTCATGTGATATCTTTTTTTTCTGTCGATGACCATCTTTTTATATTTTTATGTGGGTGATACTTTGGCAATTTTTGTAATAAAAGTTTTATAAATCTCATCTCAAAACAAAGTTCTTATATAAATCACGTTGGCATCATATATTTTCCTGATTTCTAAATCGAAAGAGCAGAACAGTATCAGTTCAAATTTTTTATTATCACATAGCAGTTGAATTAATGGGGTTTTATATGCATGCGAATAAATATTTAATTAGATCAGTAAGAATATTCGAGGAATTTACAAGGTTTGCTAACGCTTCGGAGTTGTATGATCTCGGTGTCTCTCAAAATTCTTTAAGTTCAAAAATTCAAAATACTCTGCTCTTTAGTCTCAAATAATATTAGATCGCGATATTAAGTAATAGTCATATATGAATTTGATGGTGTTGGTTATGCATTCTGGTTCTTCAATATCTTTCTTCTGTTTTGTACATTTTGTGATCTCTCCGTTTTATCCGACATCGTGATATGAAATAAGAAGCGAATTTATCCTATGTTTACGGCACGAAAGCCGTGTGAACAAGAAACTTCATCATTGTTTTTAAGAAGGTACGGGTTGGTAACTTTTTCTTGGATTATTTATTCAATTCATCTTTTTCTCAAATTATTGCAATGAATAAATATTATATAAAGCATAAGAATTAAGTGAAGTAGAAAATTTTATTTCACGACAGAAATCGTCAAATGTTTCACCTCCACCAGTTATATTTGATGATATTTCTTATTTCCAGTTTGTTATAACAATGAAGGAAGCAAGGCAATGCAATCATTATAATTATCTAGCAGTGAGAAATAATGAAATAATCAGAAGGCAGGGAGGGCACTTATCAAATTTATTTAAAGTCAACTTTTCGATATGGAAGTTAAGAAATTATGAAAGATGTAGCTGCACGTATAATTAAATTAAAGGAACGGGAAACTGCAATTACACAGCTCTTCCAAATGTTTCGCGCTTCTCGAGATGCTTCATTGAGAATTTTCAATTTTTACGTTTCTATGAATAAGATTGAAAATTATATTGTTACTCAGAACTGTACCTGAAGAGAAACCAGAAAGATATCCATAATTTCTTCCACATAGTCAAAAATTACTTACTTGAAAAGAAAGTTCTTCTAACGATCTCGAGAATTATTTGCCTACAAATTTCTAATTTATGTGTTGGGATCTCTTTTTCTATCAAATGATGAATTAATACGGCGTACCTTTGGATTTCAAACATTTTTTTGTCGTATCCTTTCCGAAATCTTCGGTAAATAATATGATTATTTGCGTACATGAGAAGATATTCTTAAGAATATTTTGGTGATCAGCAGAAAATCAAAAAAAAATTTTTAGTATAATGAATACAGCTGTCTGATGGATGAACAATTAAATGCGTTAGTTATATTGAAACATCTGATGGTTCTTCATCAGATTTCCATTAAAAAAATACAAGTAGATAAGTTTCTTGTATAAAATTTGAATCATCAATTTTTAGATGTTGAGAATTGGATTATTTCTGTCATAGCATGTTGGAGTTAGGCTGTATGTGTTTATGAATGTGAGCGGAAATTGTGGCAAGAACCAAGTTTAGCCACTAATTTTATTGGCTTATTAGAAGAAAGAGAGACTTAGTACTTTTATATCTACGTATCGAAAAAGACATATATCTTTTGATATCATATAATGGTGACAAATTTACATATTTTTGTATCACCAAACTAGATAAGCAATATATTGTTGATATTTTATCAATAAAATAGCAACAACAAAGCACAAAACTTCTTATTATTACTACATTTCGATTTATATTAACCAAAGTAAAATAACCTGCGAAACTTTGTGGTGATAATTGATTTTTGGGATGGATTTGGCTATAAGTTCATTTTGAAATCAATTTTCAAGTATGATTACCACTAGTACTCCTAAGGATAGGTTACCATTAATGAGTTCCTTAAGAATTAGGTTTTTAACTATCTTTTTAAGGCCTGTTATTAGATACACTATCATCCTCGGAAGGAATTTGCAAAACAGCAATATATGCAACTGAATTAGTTCTATAGCTTCGAATGATAGTGATATTTTATTAGTGAGAAGCTGCAAAGATTTATGATAGGAACGAATGATATCTATTATCATTAACATCATCATTATTATTAATTATTGAAAAGGTGAAGTGAAATGAAAATTGAGGGAAGTGCATTAGAAGAATTACATACAATGACATTGAATATTTCAAATCAAAATATCAACAATTCGAAATCAACCGATCGATATGAATCAATATTATGGTTCATCACATTATTTTAATTCATCATTAAAACAGCAAGGATTCTTTTATTGCAACTTTAAACACCATTCATTGCAATTTTGATTCAAAAAATTCACTCATGTAGTTAGTTAAAATGCTAACTTGGACTTTAAACATTCGTTTAATTCATTGACTTTTTTCTTTCTATTGTCTTTTTTTGGTACAATTAGCTCATTTATAATGTTTGGTTAATTTGTTAAAATTTATTTCAATTCATATTATCCTTTATTGATTATTAATAATGATTAATTTTACCATAGTGTTATTTGCTATTCATTAATCCCATCATTTACATTCTTCAAATAGTGACACCTTTAAGTAATAATCATTTACTGCTATATCACATCACAAAATTGTTTGGTAAAGAAAAGTGTAATTGCTATTTCAATGAGTATATCTTTTTTTTAAAAAAAAAGCTTTTCAAATTTATGGTTTTTTTCTCTTTGATCGAATTATTTTCAGTATGACGAAATGGGAATAGTTAAGGATGGATTATTATATAACAAACATACAATGTTATGCATATATGTTATACATAGTATGTTTCAATTTTATGGCTAGCATAAATGAATGAATGGTTTGAAGTAGTTTTATAAGAAATATATTGCAGAGAAATTGAAATACCATTGAATAGATGATGGGTCATTCTTGATGGTGCAATACCCTCCGAACATCGTTAACATCGAATGATATCGCAGCGATAACCCAGATCTGCTTTTCTAGGTACACTGATCATTTCCCAAATAGTGATCATTGTACTCATTCATTCGTTATATCCTCTACAAGGAATTGCACCACATTTTATTACACTAACTTCTCTTACTATTTTTTGCTTTTAAAATTCTTTACTGATTAATATTGTATATTTTTAATGTTGGAAGTTTTCTTTTTCAATTCTATAGTGACATTTTTCTTATAGAATTAATTTTTGATTGGAAAAAATGACAAGTTGTTATAATTTTGAAATTTGAAATTAACTTCCATTGTTCATTCCAACAATGGACAATGAAGCTTAATTTCAAAATTTGTTTAGAATAAGACTTTCAAAGTTTCAGCAAAAGCATTCTACACTGTAATTGGATAGGGTTGGTGCAGTATGGGATGTTTACTGGAAGCTCAAATAAGCGCCATCATCATCGGCTTCTGATCATTAACTTCTTAGCAGATGATCAGAGGTCGATGAAAGTTAGAGGTTTTCAGTCTCCAAAAGCGAATTTACGAATGGATTGAGAGAAAGAATTTGATACGGTACAAAGGCCAATGCATAACTATGGTCAATTATCATTAGCGCCACAATCGAAATGTGCTAAATTGAATGTTGTATTCCAAATAAAATAAAAAACTAATATCGGATTTTATTTTCTTCCATTCTCCATTTTTAATCGAAACTTGTTGATTTTTAATTATAACAACTGGAATTTTTTCTACTTCTTAAGATGCCAGTAAATTTTAATTCTAAAACGAAATAGTTGATAAGTAGGGAAGATCATCATTTTATCCTTTCCAGAATAGTCATAAGTAATAGATACTGGATCAGTATGCTTTGACATTTCATATTGATCAATTTCATATTCAAAAAACTCATTTATGTATTCCTTATTCTCTCATATACTTTTTATTCCATTATCTATTTCTCATTCAAAAAGTATGCATATTTCTGTAAAATAGAAAATAAAAGAAATAATGATAGACTACTATAATATTGTACGATATTAAATGTGTGAGGAAGATGAAAATCCAATAGGAAATGTAATTTAAGTGATAATTGCAAATGGTTGCAAATCAGAGGAAAGAGTTGGTATATTAAAATGATAAATCTTGAATTTTTTTAAGGTACTATTTTTTTCAATAGACTGTCAGAGATATTAATATAAATTAATAAAAAGTGGAAAAGTGGATTGATTTAGTGGGAAAAATTAGCTATTAAAATGTACTTGATGAAATTTTTGTTACAACTTCAAAATTGCTACAAATGTACATAACAATGTTGCCGAGAGACAAGAAATGTATTATAATATTTTCATCAGAGTTCCATTCATTTATTTCAATGGAAGA